ATTCCTGTCTTCCCCCTAACCACCTTGGCTGGAACTGTCAAGTAGAGCACGCCCATTCTGGCTGCCAGTTGCTCACCTGCTCTGAGTCCCAGCTTGGCATCTGCATCACCCCTTGCCAGGTGGGCAGATGAGCAGGGAAGGAGTGCAGCAGGACCCTCCAGCAGCCACGACCATGCCCATCACCCAGGCAGGAGTTCCGTCAGCGGCAGCGATGGGGTGATGAGACACAGGATGGCCATGGGTGCTTTCCTGGAAACTTCACCTTATGAGGGTTTGGATGGGCAGTTGTCTTGCTCGCCTAGGGGACATGAGGCACCACTGACTCTTGCTGTCTCTGGCAACATGGATTCACCTTGACTTAGTGTTAAGACACTGGGCTCAGCCAAGGATGCTTAGGTCCTTACCACCATCCACATGGTGTGTTCCATGATTGTGTCCGTCTCCCAGATGGGAAGTGGAGTCTTGAGGAGTGAGTATGCCCAAGTCTTGCTGCCCTCTGGTGACTGAGACTACAACACAGACTCCAGACCAGCACCCTTACCCCTTCCATGTACATGGTTCCTGTTCTCTCTCCTTCTCAGCAGACAGAAGATGTAGCTCTGGGAGCAGGCCAAACACAAATCTGGCCCAGCCCCTGTGCCTTGGAAGACTGAGTGCACCAGCTCTGGGGAGCCGCTATCATTGAATTTGCACTACACCTTTCCACATGAGCTTCTTTAGGAACCCCATTCGACAGAAGAAGACATTGAGGCTGAGAGACGTCAGGCACGGACCAACCGCCCAACATTTCACACAGTCCAGGGATCAGACGGAGACCCTTGTGTCCTTAAGGCCTTGGCTCTCAGCCGGGGCTTTCAGACCCCTGTGTCAGGCTGGGAAGGGGTCCCTGTGTTGTGGTGGCACAGTGGTGGGCAGCATCCTGACTTCTACCCGCTGGATGTCAGTGCTATTGCTCCCTAGGTTGCTGACACTCCAAGCGTTGCCAAGGAGGTGTGGGGTGGAGGGTTTGATCTGTGGCTGGGACCCCACCCTGTGCTCTAACCACTGAGCCCTCAGCTGAGAGCCATGGGGCAGGCCTGGCTGATGGGGCTGCGTGGTTCACACTCTTCTTCTGGGAGCCGATGCTATGCCGATCCGAAGCCAGGATCCAGGAACTTCTTCCAGGTCTCCCACATGGGTGCAGGGTCCCAAAGCTTTGGGCTGTCCTCGACTGCTTTCCCAGGCCACAAGCAGGGAGCTGGATGGGAAGTGGAGCTGCCGGGATTAGAACCGGTGCCCATATGGGATCCCAGCGCGTTCAAGGTGAGGACTTTAGCCGCTAGGCCATGCTGCCGGGCCCCACTGTGGCTTCGAAATATGGCTTGTTCCCCCAGCACCCCAGTCCCAGCTGACATAGACTGCTGTACCAGTCTCCAAGAGGTGCTCACTGCGTTCACTGTGTCTTCTATTGCGTTTTCCATCCCGGAACTTAGCTGGAACAGCCAATGAACCACTCCTGCACACTCCCACTTCTGCCCTAAATCGCTGATGGGCACTTCCTGTCTTGCTTCATCAACCTCTCTCTCCCTCCGCCCCAGGGCCTTTGCAATCTACTCATGCTGAGCGAGGCGAGTTGGACGACAGGGTTATCCGAGGAGGCAACATTCTTGGGAGCAGGTGGACGTCACTCAGCCTGAATATGTTCTTCCCCAAGTTGCAAGCTGGCAGGATGACTTGGAAAGGGTGCTGGCGAGGTGAGCGAAGATAGTGGGCTGCTTGATGGGTGGCTGGGCAGGTGATGGACTCATCACCAACATTGTCTGTCGGCAGCCATTGGATGCAGACCTAGCTGCCCATTGCAGGGTCTGGGTTTTACAGGCTGCAGTCTGAATTGCTGGGAAGCCTTGCCATGGCCCCACTTTTTTAGATTCATTTATTTTTATTGCAAAGTCAGAGGATGAGAGACAGAGAGAAATACCTTCTGGCTGATGATTCACTCCCCAAGTGACTGCAACGGCCAATCTGAAGCTAGGAGCCAGGAGCTCTTTTGGGTCTCCCACGCGGATGCAGGGTCCCAAGGGTTTGATAGCCCCACTTTCTACCTCGGTTCATGGAGCACCCCAGACACTGGTTGCAGTAGCCCGTCCCTGGGAGCATCTGGTCCAGATGTGGCCTTTGGAGGCTTGGAGCCTGAGTCTTGCTTTCTTCCCCCTTGCCTGAGTCCTCCTGCCACAGGGCAGGGAACACTTCTTACCCCATTGCCATGCAGAACAATACAGAAGAGGCCTCCAGGCAGTCCCAGGACCCCCACCAGGTTCTCCAAAGTCAGGCCTGCCCCGCCCCAGGTGGGGCGCAGAGAGTAGAGGCCTGGGCACCCAGGAGAGGCCAGGCCAGGGCCCCGGGTTCCTGTGTCCACATTGGTCACATGCTCCCTCTTTCTTTCCATCTCTTCTTCCCTTTTTCCCTCTCCCCTCCTCTTCTACAAATTTGTGTTCTTTTTATTCACTGAGGTGTCATAACTTTTTTTAAAAACTATTTTTTTTTAATTGCAAAGTCAGACATACATAGAGGAGGAGAGACAGAGAGGAAGATCTTCCATCTGATGATTCACTTCCCAAGCGACCGCAACAGCCAGTGCTACGCCTATCTGAAGCCAGGAGCCAGGAACCTCCTCCAGGTCTCCCACACAGGTGCAGAGTCCCAAGGCTTTGGGCTGTCCTTGACTGCTTTCCCAGGCCACAAGCAGGGAGCTGGCTGGGAAGTGGAGCTGCCGGGATTAGAACCAGCGCCCATATGGGATCCTGGTACGTTCAGGGTGAGGACTTTAGCCGTTAGGCCCCAGCTTGGCGGGGGAGGGGCTGGAGCATAACGGTCATAACGGACATAACGGTCACAGCGGAAGATCGGAATAAAGCGCCTTGGAGACTCTCTCAAGTGTCGGGTGATTTCTTCCGCAGGACGGGAGGACCCCCGATAGGTTACACTGTGTAAATTTGCAGGATTGGGTGTGACTCTTCATCTCCAGTTTACACCTGTCACTCACAGCAGTCTTCCATCTTATTTTTAGTGGAAAGAACTGTGCATGCAAGGGGTGTTTCCACAGCAGGGCTGGGCCTGCAGTCAGCAGCCCAGGACTGAGGGAGAAGAATGTTGGGGTCCCAGCGGCTCCCCAGCATGAAGCTTTGGGAACCAGGCAAGGCTCACGAGAGTAGAGCGCCTGCCTGGGCAGTGTCTTCTGACCGGGAAGGCCTCCCTGCAGCATTTTCCTTCCCGTCAATGCCGCATTTCATTTGAAATTGCAGCTGAATGCAAAGGTCTTCCCTCTTGCCTAATGCACCTCTTAATTTGACTCTCCCTCTGCTATTACTTGTCTTCATAAAGCGTTTTACATGAAAGACCCGCGCTGCACACACAATGTTGCTGTGCCCTGGGTTAAGTTTAACAGAAGATGTACCCAAGAGACGAAATCCCAGGAGGGAAATGTGAAGACCCTGAGGCCTTGACACATGTCTGGCAGCAGCTGCCAGAGGGCGTGCACGTTTCTAGAGACATTGTTGCCTGGCTTTATAGGGGCACGTGTCAACGTCTGTGTGACTCTGGCATGCTCGCTTGGGTGTCCACATCCGAGTTAGGTGGGTGAGTATGTTGGGGCCTCTGCCTGCACATTGCACTTGTGCACAGAAGCTCAAGTGGCCCCAGTGTCACTTGCTGTGTGTCACGCCCTGTGCACACACCCTAATGCTCTGTTTTGCTCTTCGCCTGGGTTGGTGTCCCTCCCTATCCCACCAGGGCTCCTGATCCCGACTGGAGCTGCAGGGAACGGATGGATGACAGAATCCTGAATCCTGGGGACAGTGCCTTCGTCAGACCAACGGGGCCACATTATCTGGGCTTGGCCCTAGCCACCCGCGCCCCTTCTTCAGCTCTGAGAAGCCTGGGGCGCGGACCTCCCGCTCCCCGACAATCCTGGTCTGGCACCGAGGGGCGACAAGGGTCGTCGCGCGATGGTCAAGCCACACGCCGCCCCCTCCCCGACTAGCCCTTGTTTTCAGTCCGAGCAGTGCGGGCGGGCCTTGGGTTGGGGAGGGGGGTCTCGGTGGCTCCCAGGCCAGCGGAGGCTGGGCAGTAACCAATGGGTGGCTGGGACCCATCGGGGATCCCTCCGAGGCAGCCAATGACCTCGCTCTGCTCTCCATCGCCCTCCCGCCCTCGCCAGCCCCGCGCAGCTGGACCATTGGTGCTGGTGGGATGCAGGGGGGTCTGCGCGCGCGGCGCGGGGCTGCGGGCAGGGGGCGTGTCCGGCGGGCGTGTCCGGCGGGGGCGGGGCCGCGGGCGCTGTCGCAGTGAAAGCCCGGGCGGCGGCGGGTGTGCGCGCGTGCGGGACGCAGGCTCAGCAGCCGCGGCGGCTCAGCTCAGCCTGCGGCGGCGGCGGCAGCCCGTCTGGAGCGGCCGCAGCGAGGACGCCAGCTGCAGCGGGGGAGGTGCAAGCTAGGGCTGCGCGTTGCGCCGAGCCGGCGGGCGCCGGGAACAGGTGATCCTAGCGGGAGCCCCGAGCCCCGCCGAGTTGGCCGGGCGGGAACCCGAGCTTGCCCGGTGCAGCTGCAGCTGCCCAACGCGGGGCTGGGCGCCCGGCTCTCCTCCCGGCTTGGAGGATCGGAGCAGCCCCTTTGGTTTGCGTAGCCTCGGGAAGCACCCCTTCCCTCCCGGCTCGATCCCCCGCAAGGCCAGTGAAGTGCGGCTTCCGGGGGTGCTCGGGCCCTCGGTCGCTCCCCGGCCGAGCAAAGTTGTGGACGTGTTCCGAGAGCCGCGCCGGGGCGCTGCCGCGACTCGGCCGCCTGCGCCCCGAGCCGGCCCCCCTCTGCAAAGTGCCTCAGCGACGGAAACTTTGGGAGCGGGCGAGAGCGGGAGCGAGGCCGGGGGTCGGGGCCTGCGGACGGCCCTGGGCGCGGCGGCCGGGATGTGACGGCCCCGGCGCGGCCGGCGCGCGGGAAGGCGCGGGCTCGGCGGGCGCCGGGCGCGGCGGGAGGGGCTGCGGCGCGCGCTAACGGACGGCTGCGGGCCCCGGTGCCGGAGGACCGGTTGTAGAGTCGCACAAGTTCGGGGCAGGGTAGGCGGGTGGCCTCGGCGGGCCGAACCCTTCGCGGACACGTGCCTACTGGCCGAGGGCCTCCGGGGGCCGGGAGGGCTGCACCAGGCCCCCAGCCCTCGTGGCCAGCCACCATGCTTTTGAGGAAAGTGCCGGGCTTCTCGCCGGCCTCCTTGTGGGGGCTGCGGCTGCCGCAGAAGTTCCTCTTCCTCCTCTTCCTGTCGGGCCTCGTCACCCTGTGCTTCGGGGCCCTCTTCCTGCTGCCCCACTCCTCTCGCCTCAAGCGCCTTTTCCTGCCACCGCGGATCCAGCAGCCTGGCCTGGAGGTGGTGGCTGATCTGCCCAGCCACCCCCTGGCTCGCGAGCAGGAGCCGCCTCCCAACCCGGTGCCTGCGGCCCCTGCCCCGAGCGACGATGACCCCAGCAGCCAGTCTAGCAGCCGGCGCAAGAAAGGTTGGCCTCGCCGCCAGTGGCCCACTGTGGCGTCCAGGCGCCAGGAGGACCGCGTCCCATTCAGCTTCGACTTCAACGCCTTCCAAAGTCGCCTCCGCCACCCGGTCCTGGGGAGCAGGGCAGATGAGAAGGGGGAATCCTGGAGCCCAGTGCGAGCCCAGCGAGAGAAAATCAAGGAGGTAAGTTTCCCGCTAGGAAGTGGAGCCTTCCTGCTATTCCTTGGCACTGCCCCTGAGCCCCGGTAAGCCCTAGGCCCTCCAACCTGCGAGCTTTCCTTACCCTGCCCCCATGGACCTGCTGCCCCCCAACCCCCGGCTCAGGTCTTTTCTGTCCTGTCCCCAGTCCTGTTGGCCTCCAGTGCTTCCTTGGAGTTGCTGGTGAGAGTGGAGCTGGGGGCTTTTCACGGGCACCCCCTCTTTACCTCTGTAGACACAGAGCCATCTGTCACATGCTTTCATCCGGTGGGCCCCTTAAAGTCTTGGCTTCCTCAGAACCCTTGCGTGGGGACTTGGAAACCCAGGTTCATGTCCTGCGCCTGACGTTGTAAGCTAGCCAGCAGCCCACTGGGTAGGGGCATCTTGCCCTCTTGCTGACCGTGACTGTGAGTGTGGGAACAGCAGGGCGTGCGTGTGGTGCGGGAAGGAAGGAGCAGCGGGGTAGGGGTGATGTTCCTGGAGCTCTGAGGGTATCGGCTTCCTGGAGCAGTTCTTGGACCTGTTCCCTGTGCGGCTGCAGCCAGGGAGGGGTGTAGAAGGAGCAGCTTGAGTCTTAGTTTAAGAAGTCGAAAGCAAACCTCTAAGCATGGCTTGGAGTCCATAGCCAGCTGAGGGACCGCTGTGCCCCGAGTAGCTGCTGGACCCCCTGTTGCAGCCTGCTGGTGGGATTTGCGTCCAAGGGGGCTGCAGTGACACCCCCGGCCACGAGAGGGCTGTGGGCGAGCAATGGTCCCTGGTCTGTTGCCTAGGAGTCGGGAGGATGCTGTGCCCTGGTGGTTGACCCAGAAGGCAGGAGCTGCCCGGTCTGGACTTCTTGGTTTGCTGCAGAGCAGTCAGCATGGCTGTCCTGGTTGCCAGGGTACGCATGTGGCCAGGATCAGGACCTGCGTGGCTGAGACCTACTAAGCAGGGCCAGTGGAGAGTTCCATTGTCCCCTTCTCCTTATCTTAACTACCCACACTCTTGCTTATCACTGCTGCTGCCCAGCTGTTCTGTGTTCAGCCCTGTTGGGAGACTCTTAACTGGCAGCCACAAGGGATTTTGTGGCACAGAAGAGCAAGAGTCCTTGGCTGTGTGTGCGAGTGTGTGCTTCAAATCCTTGTTGCAGTTGCAAAGGTGTGTTGGAACCCGGACCTTGCAGCAGCTAAGCAGGGGGCATCCTGGCTGTGTTATTAGGAGCAGGTGTGCTGTGGAGACTTGTCTGGCCCACCAGTCGCCTCCTTCTGAGAGCTGTCCCCCAGCATTAGGAGCTCAGTAGAGACCCCGCTGGATCCCCAGGCAGGCAAGAATCCTGGTGACGGTGCATCCGTGCCATTTTTTCATGGGGTCTGCAAAGCCACCATCATGCTTTTGCCGAAGGTTCCCCAGAAGGATGAAGGGTGAAGTACTCTCCTCCTTGGAAGAGGTACCCCCCACATTCACATGCAGATGCATGACCCGTTTCTGAAGGTCCGGCCTGCGAGCTAGCGCAGGAGAGGTGGGCCAGGTCAGGAAGCACTTGGTTTTCCCCTTCTAGGTAAAGACAACCTCCCTTGCCAGCAGAGGCTGGGGCTGGTGGCTTGTCACTGCGGTGGGGGCGGGGAGGAGGAGGAGGTGTGAGTACTGTGGTTTGCAGGTGGGTGTAAGCTAAAGACAAGGCCTGGGAGGAGAGCTACCCTGGTTGCCAGATACATGAATCTTTCCAACTCCTTGCACTCTCAGTAGTAGCTGGAGGAGGTGTGCGGCCAGTGCTGGGTGAGCCCTCTCCTGCTAACTCCCCAGGAGAGGGGGCTGCTGCCGCTACACTGATAGGATTTGAAGCTCACTGCCTCTTTAAAACTTCTTGACCTCCCCCTATTCGACCTGGAAAATATGGGGCTGAATATTCAGCTTGGATTAACACAGGTGTTCTTTCTACCCCACCGTCCTACCTGAGGGACTGTCCAAGGCCGCTGCCGTGTGTGTGTGTGTGTGTGTGTGTGTGTGTGTGTGTGTGTGTGTGTTTGTGTGTGTGTGTTTACTCCCTTTAAGTGTATATGTCAGTGTCGAGCCCTCAGGGAGATTGTGTTAGAGGGGTGCTGCCTTCATGGAGGGTCTGTCTTGCTTTCCTCAGGTTTCTTTCCACCCGTGGGTGGGTTAGACTTTAGGAACCCCAGGGGAGCTAGCGTCAGCTAAAAAGAGCCCTGTGCTTACAACTTGAGGTTTTGAAAGCAAAAGTGAGCAGAGAGAGAGAGAGAACTGGATGCCTGGATGCCTAGGCTGTCCTCCCCAAGGTGTCTGTCACGTTCTAGTTGGTGAGGAAGCATGAGGTGTGTGCTGGTGACACCAGTCCCTGAAGCTGCATGTGTGTACTGGGAAACACAGTTGCTGGAGCCACCGAGTTCTCTTCACTGAAACCTTGATGGACAGGGGAGACTCAGATCAGGGGCTGGAGTTGCAGTTGAAATGTCTGACTTAGAGCAAGCTGCTTCTTGGAAAAGAGGCTGAGAGACACATGCTTCAGGTGCTGTTCCTTCAGTGCCCTGGCAGCTGCATGGTGTTGGTACCTGTTTTCAACCTTCTGCTAGCCCTGTGAGATCGGGGGGGGGGGGGGGGGGGGAGCATACAGTGGTGGTGGGAGAGAGGTGCATGTAGTGGTGAGGTGGGAATGATGGGGCGATATGGGTGATGTTTGCCATTCTAGCCCTGGCATGTGCCCAGGAGTAGGGAATCAGGTAGCTGATGAAGGTTGTTGCTGCTGTCGCCCATATTGAACTTTGGAGATGGTGTGAAGCCCTCAGCTTGGGCTTGTGAAGAGAGAAGGTGCCAGCTAGAGTGCAGAGGGGAGCAGGCTTCCTTTTCAGAGCCAAGGATCTGTGAGGGAAGGAGGAACCACAGGCCTGGGTGTAGTTCTTAAGGGTTCGGAATCAGAATGACTTTCTCAGCTATGCCAAGAATTGGCCCTGTGTGAATATGGCTTGTCAGGGTTTCAGTGCAGTGGAAGAAATCGGCCTGTCCTGGAACCTTCTAGTAATAGGTGTGGTTGCTCTCCCTGGGCAGCCTCAGTTATTCCCTCCAGGAAAGGTGGTTGGTTTGTTGTTTAAAGGAATGGGGCAGTGAAACCACGATTCCTGAGCTGGACTGCCCAGAGCCCCCAGGGGGCTTTTGGGCCAGCCATGCCAAGGGCCCAAGTTTGGAGTGCGGAATGGGTGAGAAGAAAGGGAGTCCTAACTTCCATCCACAACTGCCCAGAGCCTCTACGTACCACTCTGTGCTGCAGGCCTGGTGGGAGTCTAACCTGGGTGCAGGTTCTCGCTCCTCAGTCAGCTCGGCTCATCGCTGGACCTCGCCATCTGGTGAGCCCAGAGTCGGCTGTTCTGCAGGCTCGCCTCTGCCCCCTGCTCTCGCTTGGGTACAATTTTGTTTATGGACTTGCCCAAGGCTGCACCTACAAGTTATAAGCTAACAGATATGGCTGTTGGCACCTAGAACTTCTTTTTTTAAGAATTATTTTTGTTGGAAAGGCAGATCAGATTTACATGGAGGAGAGAAAGATCATCCATCCACTGGTTCACTCCCTGAATGGGCAGAGCTGAGCCAATCTGAAGCCAGGAGCTAGGAGCTTCTTTCATGTCTCCCACATGGGTGCAGGGTCCCGAGGATTTGGGTTATCCTCGACTGCTTTCCCAGGCCACAGGCAGGGAAGAGGAGCAGCTGGGACACAAACCAGTGCCCATATGGGATTCTGGCACCTGCAGGTGAAGGATTTTGCATTTGAGCCATTGTGATGGAATCCAACACCTGGAATTCTAAGGAGGCTCAGAGTGGGGGCTGCAGCCACGTGTTAGGGGTCCAGCAGCTAAATGACCCAATCAAGAAGATTTTCAGAGATTGTTGTGATTTTTCCAAATACAAAGCTGACCCAATGGGAGAGGGGAGGTGGCACCCTTGAATAAAGGCTCTTGTTCATGGAGGCTGCCTTAAGTTACTCTATCGAGTACCTTCCACTTGTGGGAAGTGCCCCAACTCTCTTCCCTGGATCGGTTGTGTTGAGTCTCCTGGACAAGATCAGTGGTGAATGTCTGAATCTGGTATCTGGCTTTTAAAGATTTATTTCTTGCAGACAGAAGGAGAGACAGAGAGAAAGATCTTACGTCTGCTGGTTCACTGCCCAAGTGATCACAATGGCCAGAGCTGTACCGGTCCAAAACCTGGAGCTTCCTGTAGATCTGCCACATGGTTTCAGGGTCCCAAGACTTTGGACTGTCCTCTGGCACTTTTCCAGGTCACAGGCAAGGAGCTGGAAGGGAAGTGGAGTAGCTGGGATATGAACTGGTGCCTATATGGAATCTTGGCGTGTGGCAAGGCGAGGATTTTAGCCCTTAGGCTACCATGCTGGGCCCTGGATCAGGCATCTTGGTCCCCATTAAAGGGATGGTTCATCAGGTGTAGTTTCTCTGTACATCTGATTTATTGTCACTGGTGCAGGTACAGGTGGGAAAATGAAAAGACTTTGTGTTCTTGATGTACGTGACTGTGAGCTTGTGAGATGTTCAGCGTGATTAGTATTAGGCATAGCTTGGATTTGAGGGCTTTCCTGGGAAGAACTCTGAGTTGCAAATCCATTGACGAGCCATTCTTTTCCTCACATCTTTTCGCTTCCTCAGTTTCTGTCTTGCCCTGCTTAAGTTGCCTTTCGCCTAGGAAGGGACTGACCCGTGATAACTGGACAGGTCTGTCAGCTCAGCTGTTCACCTCTGCCTTCCCTAGAACTGAGTGCTGCAGTTAGAGTGAAGCTGAGAAGTGGTCCCTGCCGGGTCAGGCAGCTTAGCGCCTGCAGGGCGGCTGATCTGTGCTTTCCTCTGGATTTGCACCATCACTTGGAAGTGTGCCAGCAGCTGTCAGTTCTCAGGCCTCACGTCCTTAACTCCGTGTTTTGTGTTAAGGCTAGAAACAAACAGAACGATAATGTTTAAGAGCCAGTTGCTTATTTCACAGTACCGTTG